GGCTGGCCCTCCTTCCCTCCTCAACCTGTTTGACCCAAGGGGGCTCCCTGGCTAACTAACACCCTTAGACTCTCCCCTCTCTGCCCCTCACTCGCAGAACCAGACCATACTTCCAGACCTTTCCAACTCCTTTCTCCCTGGCCTGCTAGGGAGACAACCCCAGCCTTCCGGCCCAGTCCTCCCCGACCCAGCCTCCCGCCGCAGTCTCTGCCTGCAGTGATCGGGCCCCAGTGATTCCACCTGCAAATATCTCCTGGGTCAACCCAGAAGCTCCATCTCTGGGGCCTGAGTCCAGACCAGGCCCCCGCGGCCACTCACCTGGTTCACCCAAATGCCTTCTGGCTCCAGAGCTGTGAGAGAAGACATTGCTGTTGCCTTAAGCTGCCCAGTTTATGGTCCTTTGTTACAGCAACCCCAGGACACTCATCCAGTGGGCAAGAGAGCCCAGGCCCAGGCTGCTGAACACCCTTCTTCACGTGGGGCGTGGACACTGGGACATGATGAGGAAGGCCCAGGGCTGGGCCGGTGGGGCGGGGAAGAGAGGGGGGAGCGATGCCCGCACTGTCACTCACAGAGGCACAGACAGCTCGTAGGGAAGGAGGTCTCCTTAACAACCCGCTGAGCTGCGATGACTGGTGTCCATGTGGGAATGCAGCCCCCGCCTGAGCCTGGCACCATCAGAAGGAGGCTCATGCAAATGGGGCAGAGGCCGATTTGTCAGGGCAAACAGCACTCGGCCTCTGGAAGGAAACAGGAGAAAAACCTACCAGCCACGATTCCTTAGTTAGGACACGAAAAGCACTCACTGTGGGAGAAAAACAGAAAATCGGATCCATCAAAGGTAAAGCCACCTGCTTTACTTTGCTGGTCAAAGACACCATTAAGAAAACAGAAAAGCAAGCCAAGGGGAAATAAGCATAGGACACATGCAACAAGAACCTGCACTGACAATTTATAAAGAACTCTTAAAGCTCAATAATAAAAAAACAAACAACCCAGTAAAAAGTGGCCCGAACACTAAGACACTTCAGTAAAGGAAAACATACAAATGACCTATAAGTTCAAACACTAGTCATCAGGGAAATGCCAATTAAAACACTAATGGGCTATTACTGCACACTTACTAGAAAGACCAAAATTAAATTTTTAAAAAAATATATTTTATTGATTTTTTAACAGAGAGGAAGGGAGAGTTAGAAACATCGATGAGAGAGAAACACTGATTTAGCTGCTTCCTGCACACTCCCTACTGGGGATGTGCCCGCAACCAAGGTACATGCCCTTGACCGAAATCGAACCTCGGACCCTTCAGTCCGCAGGCTGACACTCTATCCACTGAGCCAAACCAGTCAGGGCCAAAATTAATTTTTTTTAAAATTAACTATATCAGACATTGGTGAGGATGTAGAGCTACTTGAACTCTCCTGTGTGCTGGTGGGAATGTAAAATTAGGACAACCACTTGAGAAAAGTTTGGAAATTTCTTACAAAAGTAAATAAACCTGTGATATAACCAGCAACGTTATTCACAGGAATATCTCTGGAAGAAAATAAAATGCACAGGTACAAGTATTCATAGCAGCCCCACTCATTCATAACAGTAAAAAACCGGAAACAACTTACAGTGTGTCAAAGCCTCACTGTGTTCAAACGCTGAGACGCTGCTCAGCAACAGACAGAATGAACTGGTGACACAGTGCCGACGCCTCTCTAAAAACGCCGATGCTCCCAGAGTACAGCAGATGATTCTGTTCACGAAAAGCTCCAAAAATGATTAACATGATCTCATAATGACAGAAATCAGACCGGCGATTGAATGGGGGCTGATTTTAAGGAGGTTTGACGTGACGGAGATGTCCTCTATCTTGACTAGAGAAATGTGTGCTTTTGACTGTATATAAATTGCACTGAAATAAAGTTGATTTTTTAAAAAATATATTTTATTGATTTTTTTACAGAGAGGAAGGGAGAGAGACAGAGAGCTAGAAACATCGATGTGAGCGAAACATCGATCAGCTGCCTCCTGCACATCTCCCACTGGGGATGTACCCGCAACCCAGGTATATGCCCTTGACCGGAATCGAACCCGGGACCCTTCAGTCCGCAGGCTGACGCTCTATCCACTGAGCCAAACCGGTTTCGGCTGAAATAAAGTTGATTTTAACAAGTGTTAGTGCAACGAAGCAACATACTGCTTGGTGTATGCGTTAGTTTTGCCCTGGTAACAAGCAGCCCCCTGAGCTTTGTGGCTTCCAACTACACACTTCTCCCTCACCTTGTGTGTAGGCAGCAGCAGGTTGGCTGTGGCTCTTCTCTTTCCGGGTCACGGAACCAGCCTCACGGTGACATTCACTTATCACATAAAGGAAAAACAGTGAGCTGGTGGTGGAAACCCTTGGGAATCCCCCAGAGCTGCTGCTCAGATGTGGCTAGCATCAGTCCCTCCCCATCCCACTGGCCAAAATGCCATGTGGCCACACCTGACATTAACAAAACAGGATGAGTCCCCTTTCCCAGAGATGGCAGGGGTCCTTGGAGTCACAGGCAAGAATGAGCTGCAGTCCTGTCTGGGGAAGGCCAGGGAGCAGTCATTAGAGATGCCATCAAAGGCCTCCCAGGACTCTGAGATGGGGCTGGGAGGCCGTGAGGGGGACGTAGGCAGTCCAGTAGAGGGCAGGTCCCTAGAGCTGAGAGAATGAAGGTGCCACTGGGTTGGCCTCACTGAGCTCTACACGCCCCAGCCTTTGCTGGGCACATGGCACATTTTAACTCCCAGATTCTCACACAGCCCCACAGGGAGGGCGCTACCTGGAGGATCTAGAAGCATAGACAGATCACAGGACCTGCCCAGGGTGTGCAGTGAGCAGAAAGGCTGCCGTGAGGCCGGGTAGCCTGGCATCAAGGTTCATGCTCCATCTTGGGATATGGACAGCAGGGGTGAGGCTGGGGCTACCCCTGGAGTTGGCAAGCCATGTTGTTAGCCACCTCCTCTGCCAGGAACATGCTGGGATGCACCAGGCCACATGAGAGTCAGCCCTGGCTTGCCCAGCCCAGTGCCAGTGAAGCGAGCTGGCAGGCCGGCCAGCTGTGAGCCAGGGACACGGCTTCCCATCTGTCTACTCTCCCAGGTGGCATCTATTTTTAGAGCCAAGGCGTCAGAGCTGTGGGATGGGTTTGGGCTCCGCAGGTGGGGAGCCCGCCCCGGGGGAGTTCAGCTGAGGCCAGTGGCTGAGAGGCCAGCCGGCTGGAGAGGGTGCGCTGCCAGTCCCCGCTGCCCCCTCTTCCTGAGCCCCTGTCTGCATTCCCTGGCCTTTCTTCTTCCTTTTTCTCTGACAACACCTTTGCCACCTGGCCATCAGGACACCACGCTTTCCCCACAGCCTCTCTGCTGGCCCCAAATCTTTGGGAAGTCCAGGACCCGGTCCCTGGGTCTCTTCCCTCACATGTGCACCTACTTCTTCTGTCGCTTAGAGTCCACCTTCCCCCGGCAACTCCCACCCTTACGCCCAGAACCAGAGCAGCTCTGAGCTTGCTGCGGGGCCATCTCACGACAAGCGACAGGCGTCTCCAACTGAACAGGCAGGTGAGCTCCTGAACCTACCCCCTTCCCAGCCCATCTCACCTGGGCAGTCCCCCTCCCACCACCTCTGTGTCGCTCTAACCACTCAGGTTCCATGTCCATCTGTCAGCACTACCATAATCAGTGTTTCCCCTCTCTGGCACCACAGGGTCCAGACCACATCAGCTCTGGTGGGATTCTCCTCATGCCTGCCTCTTTCCTCGTCCAGTTTGACCAGTCTCTGGCTCCACCCTGGTGACAGCCTCACCCTTGCAAGGCCCTGTGGCCCTACATGACCTCTGACTTCCCTGTAGTCCCTCCGCCCCCAACACCAGCCACTCTGGCCGCTGGTATAAACACCAACTACCTACTGCCCAGGTCCTTTGTGCCTTCTGCCTGGTCCACTTCCTCCCTCACCTTCATGTCCACTCCTTGGGGAATCATCCCAGCCAAGCCCCCTGCCCCTCCTTCACCCCTGCCCCCACTCCCTTCTTGGCTGCAGTTTCCCCCGAGTCTATCACCCACTGGCTGAGTATACCGGTAGATCCCACTTGCTTATTTTATTTATTTTCTGTCTCCCATAGTGGAGATTTGTGTCCATTTTGCTGATATGGTGTCCCCACTTCCTAGAACAGCACCTTATACACCATAGGTGCTCAATGAACATTTATCCAGTTAGTTCCTCACAGTTATGCAGACTTGGGTGGGGGAGACGTGCATGGAAGACCATTCCTGAATGGGAGTGGGGTCAGGTGCTCAGCAGGTGTGCCCTGTGCAGAAGAAGAGTCCCGGATGGAAGCAGCAAGACCTTCCACCTCCCAGAAGACCAGGCAGGTCCCCTAAGATGGTGCCTCCCCTCAGATTTCCACACCTACCTCTCCCAACTCAGACAGTAATAAAGGCAGACCCCAGCCCATCCCTGTGGGGGCACCTGGCTGCCAAGGGAGGCGGGCCCAGCAAGGAGCTGTGGAGTTTGGCTAACAGGTACTGGGAAGGCTGGGGGCCAGGCAGGATTGGACCC